GGGTCCTCCGGAGGACCCGGCCTGTCGTTTTGGATAAGGCAATATAGCGTCAGTGCTAGCACAAAAGCTAACAGGCTAAGCTGAGGTTGTTCTTCCATGAAGCAGCTCTGTTGTCCTCCATCCATAAAAACATACGATGCACACGTTTCAACCAGATTTGAACAAATTGATTAATTTCCATCTCAGCGGTTTGATCTGAGTTCGTTTTGTTTCAGATGTATTCTGTCAGAAAACATTTGGCTGAATTTAAAAAACGAGCAGATTTAGTTAGTTCTTGTTCAAAATGATGAGATTGATTCTTGAACAGTTTCTCTGCAGTCTGTCTCTGAGTTTAATATTCTCATCTGTCAAATCTGCAGTTCTCTTGTAACATTTCCCAGTTTCTGTTGATCTTCATGAAGCAGTTTCCTTCAGACTGCTGTGATAAAGACCTCCACCTGCATGCTGCTGCTGCTGCTGCTCACCTGTCAGATCTAACCTTCTTGGTTTTAACACATGCTGCTGCAGCTGCAGCACCTTCTCTGAACCGATCCTCCTCTCTCCTCTGGTCATCTCTCTGGTCTCTCTCCAGGTTTCTCAGCTGTGCCTGAAGATCTGCTTCCTGGCTTTGATTTGAAGATTATGCCAGGTACATAAAGTTTTCCTCTTCTTTGGCTTGTTTCCTTCAAACTAACCCTGCAGCCTGAATTTTCTCTTTTCTAAAATCAATAATTAATTAAGCTCATACTTATAAATAGGCTGTGTATTGGCAAGAATTTGGCGATACGGTACATATAACAGAGGGGTCACGATACGATATATCCCGATATATTGCGATACTGTAAGCAAGGCAATATATTGTGATGTATTGCGATTTTTTGTCCAAAAATTCTATTAAATAAAAACCTCTTACTGAAAAAAAAAAGAACAGCTAATGTTTACTTACAATGCTAATGCTACCTTTACTCTCTGACGCTCAAGAGGTAGAGGAGCCAAATGGCTGGCTCACTGCTGCCAACTAGTGGTCAGAGGCTGAACTACAACGTAAAAATGAATGGCTGGCAAGAAGGTTGACAATTTAAACCTTAACTAAAAATCGATACAGGGCTTTAGAATATCGATACAGTATCAGGAAATGAAATATCGCGATATTTCAGTGAATCGATATTTTCTTACATCCCTACTTATAAGTAGCAAAACATTAACTGAAAGACAAAAGCTACAAAATGATAACAAAGAGGTAACCGTGGAAAAGTTAAGCTACATGTAGCAAAAGACTAGCTAAAAGCTAAGGCAGCGAAAGGCTAGCTAAAAATAGCAAATATCTAGTTGAAAGGTAAGTCAGCAAAAAGTGGGCTAAAGCTAAAATAACATGACAAGCTAATAGCTAAAAATAGCAAAAGGCTATCTAAAAACTAAAGCAGCAAAAGGCTAGCTAAAAGTAGCAAATGTATCTAGCTGGAAGGTGAGTCAGCAAAAAGTGGGTGACAAGCTAATAGCTAAAAAAAATGTATCTGATATGTTTTGTACTTAAGTATCAAAAGTAAATTTCTGACACAAAATCTACTTAAGTATTAAAAGTAAAAGTACTGAGTAAAAGTGAGCAGTTAGATTTTCCTAAATGACATTTATTGGGAGTTGACTTCTCCAAAAAATATATTTTCTAACAGCGTGCTGCTGTGATGGGTTGTGTACAAGCTAATAGTGTGTCAGAATGGTATATATTTATACTTCTCATCCAAACACAATTATGTTCACTCTGTCCGGGAGACACAGTTTATCACGATAGGATTTTTTAAAGTAACAACTCAGAATAAAATAGGACTAACGACTTTCTACTTCTTACCTTTTTAAAAAATGTAGTGAGTAGAAAGTACAGATAATTGTGTAAATATATAACAAGTAAAAGTAAAAAGTACGCTGAAAAATAATTACTCAAGTAAAGTACAGATAACCAAAATCTCTACTTAAGTACAGTAACAAAGTATTTGTACTTAGTGACTTCACAACTCTGCCCCTCCCTGATGAAAAATTCAGATAAAATGTGACGTGAGCGTTCACACTGCAGTCACTTTGAAAACATCAGAAATGTATCAGATTTAGGACCACACACTGAAACGGCCTGGGTCGGATTAGAAAACATCTGATTTGTTKYGTTCAGACTGTCATAAAAACATCTGAAATGAGTCACATTAGCCTGCAGTGTGAATGTAGCCTCTGTCACAAGACCATTTTAATTCACAAGTGTGTGATTGATATGATGCAATATATGATTGTGTTCAAAGCTTAGGGTGAGGAAGTGGATTGATATTTTCATTTTGCTTTCATATAAAAAAGGAATCATTAATCATTGATGTAAAAATGTATTAGGAGATTTAACCTGAAACTGTTTGAAGAGAACTGATCCAAACCTGTCACCTGCCGAGCCGCCAACAGTCGTTTCTCCCACTAAGAAGAAAACAGTCATTATGGTCATTATGGGTATTTATAGCTGTGCTTAGTGTGTCCTCAGCCTGTCAGAGGGAGGGAACTCTGTTTCTGTCTGTTTCTGTCTGTTTCTGTCTCATCACATCCAGGAACTGAAGGAATGTTTGAGAAAAGATTTTCTGACAAACGTTTGAAATGTGCTTATCTCAGCAGGAAGTGTTGCTTCAGTCACTGTTGTTCCAACTGACTCACACTCACACACACAGGGTTAAAATAATATGTGTGTGTGTGTGTGTGTGTGTGTGTGTGTGTGTGTGTGTGTGT